ATGGTTATTATTATATTGTGTTATGCAATCTTCGCTTAGCTGTGTTATGTCCTATGGCCAGTCAAATATCATGTGACGAAAACGCCAATCAGAACACCAACTTCGATGACCTTGTCCCTGTGCTAAATCAATGATGCATTAACCAGCACGAGCAGCCTTGGGTCAATTCTGAGTCCTTATTGGTCCCCTGTATATTAACTTATCTCCTAGACCGGCCCGTTCAGTCCAGAATACGATCTCAACCTCCGCTGTATGAATCGTATATTACAGACATACTTGGTTTATACACCAACAGACCAGACTGCATCACACCACAAAATGAAAAATAATAATTATACAAGATCAAGTCAAGAGTGGCTGTGAGTGTGTGATATTGTAACTGATAAATTGGGAATAAATTAAGAATGACAAATCGTATTGCAGCAGCCAATAGGTTAAATGAAAATTTATGATAAAAGGAATATGATTATATATATATATCATTTATTATTCGACCGGACATAATACTAATATTCAGTATTTAATAGTAATACGTTAGATTCCAGTAAGAATGAGGTTATAAGTAACTGATGTGAGAACTCATAATTTTATTGAATTTGAGTACACTTTTTCAAAATCCCGTCTCACTACTTTGATGTAGTGTGACAACTAGGTCAAATATTTGTGAAGCATGATCAAATTGCGGACAATCATTTAAAACTAAGGAGCATTGGATAACTGCTCTATTATAAGTGTAAGAATCCATGAATTAATCGTAATTGAAAGAGTGAGGTACAAAGTTTCAACTCAACAGAGTGAAAGATAACGTACTCGTCGAGAAGTTTAAACTTTTCGAAGTCTCAGTCTCTAATAGGATCTTGTTTTAGGTAAATGGACTGATGGAAGTTCTATACGAAAGCGAAACATTTATCCATTGTTTTCTGGTTTTATGCGGCTGCCTAATTAAAATCAGTCTACGGTGTAAACTATAATATTTTATCGACAATGAATCAGTATTAATAACGAATATTTGATAAGATTACAAACAAATAGTAGAAAATACCGATAGAAAGAAAGACAAAATATGAGACAAATATTCACATTATGAAACTTTGCGTCTACGTGTAAGTTATAAAGCTACTTCTTTATGTACGTCTTTCTCTAGTATAAAAAAAGACACAATTCATGTGTGTTAAGTAAACAAAGTACTTGGTCGAATGAGTTTACACTTCTAAAATAATATCTAGAAACTGAATATTTACAAATTCCTAATTGTGATAGATGTAAGATTTTTTTCTCAGTTATGTTACAGAGTTATTGATCTGATGTATACACTAGTCACTGAATTATTAAGGTGACACATTTTTAGCTGTTGTACTGTAAACTATACAATTTAATATTAAAATGTAAAATGATATATAGAATATTTTTACAGAACAGTAGTCTTGAGTACTGTTAGAGGTATGACGGTGATTATCACTTCCCGGTTGCCCACACTGTGGAAGAGTTTTTTCTAGAGGTACCTCTGTACAGTCAGCAGGATGACTTCGCCATCGGACCTGGCATGGTAGGACTTTGAGGAACGATTTTTCCAGCCAGTATAGCTTGACTGGTTCATTACGATAAGCAAGCCTGACAACCACGTCAAGGTAGCAACACGAGTCGGGTGTTACAAGACATTTAAAACAAACAATAATAAAGCAATGATTTACTGATGGGAAGAAGAAAAAATACTTACTCATTTAGGATATATCAACCTTATGAAACTTGTGCTATTTTACTATAACTCCAATGACAGAAACACATCATAAGATATTTGATAAATACTTAGTACGTTGGGTAACAGTGAAAAGGTAGATCAATATTTATGATCTTCGATCTTTAGTTACTAAGTTGGACGTTTGTTATAAAAACTAGTGATCTAAAAATTTAAATTTAGTTTGTTAGCATTCAGAGAATAGATGTCGGTCAATATAATCCTATTATCCTACAATCTAACTGATGGTGGGAGATAAACTTCTGATAACCGACTTGGTCTTTTCAGATTTAAATCAAACAAAAGATGTGTTTGATGAATGAGGACCTGCCAAAGGTTGGTTGCACTTTTTGCCAGATAAAATTTCTTCTTTATTCTCTCGGTAGCAGATCGATCATGAGATTTTTGTCATAGTTTCACTATTTATCGTCTCATTCAAACCAATTTCTTTGAGAATAGGTTAAACTAATTCAAAAGGTATTACTGAATGGTCTTTACAAGCTATAGATAAATCTTTTCGTTTATTTACTTATTTAAACACATAAACATTGGTACAAAGGGGTACCAAAATATATATACGCCAAAAAAGTAGTTATCACTTAATTCGCGTGTGGGCTAGGATACTGTCCGAGTCACAATTGATTGATCACTGGGTGGTGATCAATCTCATGCTTGTCTAGTCCTTAATAGTGTAGATCGAATGCTATCGATCATGTTGCAATGTGACCACCAGTCTAGGGAGCACCAGTTCCCTCAAGATTACAGGTACACCTTGCTGACGAGTGCCAAGTAGCACGAAACCCGGGTCCAGGGTTTCCTGTTGACTACCTCCAACCACCATCTAATCTCAATACTGTCCGAGTGCTCAAACCGAAGTAGGTGGTTTTTTTAGAGGGCCACTCCCCCGAGTCTTTGATCCAGAGGTCTATTCCACAAGACAGTGGAGCAACATTAGGAGATGAGGTCTCAGGGCAGCCGGTGACCAACAATAAGTTCATACGCCATTTATCCCCTGCTGAACCTGGAGCCAATATGTAGAATTGGTTTGCAATCAGGGTTTTCTAACTCCCCTAGGTTGATCTTCTGTGCCCACCAACTCTGTTAAAGCGCCACATATTCGTTTTCCATCCTCTCGATTTCGTAAACAACACCCCTGACACAAGAAGGTAATGAGTAGGAATCCCCTGGCAGTGGCTATATACGCGTAGCCATATACGAGCATTTCGAGAGGAGAGTGGATTCTCACCACCCTCTGTCAATCATGGGGTCTGGGACTAATCTTCTTCTCAGTTGTTCGTGTCTGTCACTGACCTGCCTGTAAGTTTACTACAATTTGATAGTTTTCAAATCAGCTAACCATTTCCATTTCTGTTGTTGTGACACTTAGTGAATGAAATATGAAGCTTCGAGAAGACAAGAAATGTAATGATGCAGACAAAAATCCGAAATAAACAGACAATGAATAGAATACTTACGGTTGTTTTCAGAAACTATGAACCGAAATATACTAGCACCTATGACAAAAGCTAAATTAAGACAATCTGTTTAGGTCACACAGATGGCAATAAAGACCGATCAATTGAAGTCCTGAATTTCAATAATGGGATATCACAGATCATTACCAAAAACATCATACCCGTTGAACAAGTTAATGGCCATATGGATTCAGTAGCTCAGTTACTCAGTCATATACAAAGTAGGACTTAGTAAATTTGTCGATCAGTTTGAGTTGCCATCATGATGAAACTGTCAAAAAAAATCCTGGTGTAAGAAGTCAACCAATCGGCAGGAGGGATATATATTAGTAGTGAAAAGTTACAAGGTATTTACATAATACATATACATAGTCTTCAATTTCCCATATGCATCTTTCAGTGTGTTTTTGCCATCTGAGCTGCCTTGTCGTCTGACCTCCAGGTGTTCTGCCAAAGCTGAGCTTCTGGCGTACTGAAACTCTTTACTGTGCTTGACAATTGCTACAATCTTGATGCCACGTATACTACTTACAAACAATCCTGTGAGTAGCGTCCACTACACCAATAACTTATTGGATAATCCATCGGTGTTTATAGTAATAAGAACTGAGTATAAGTCCAGGTGTGAATATTAACATTGGGACCTAGATACATCCAGTTAACAAGTCCCAGAATAGAATGAAACGAGTGTTCTGAATTCCACTACAAGCCGTAAACAATTCGTTCTACCGAACTTATGCAAAACCTGTATCTAATCAATATCTACACTATACACATATATCAAAGTTAATTGATCAAATTTCAATTCTGAATATTAAAAACAGGAATCAGGAAGAAGCGCTAGAGAAAAGCATCCAACTGCGTCACAAGGCAAGCCCTCACTTGGAATCCCCAAGGCCAAAAGAAAAGAGGCAGACCAAACAACACATTACGCCGACAAATGGAGACAGACATCAGAAGAATGAACAACAATTGGATAGAACTAGAAAGGAAGGCCCATCAACAGAGTGGGTTGGAGAATGCTGGTCGGCAGCGTATGCTCCATTAGGAGTAACAGGCATAAGCAAAGTAAAGTAAAGATTTAAACCATTACTAGTAATGAAATAAATTTGAATTAGTGTATCAAGTTCACACATTGTAAGTAGATCACAGATAATCGTCATGATATCAATGTAAAATTTAAGTCGATTATTAAACATAGCAACTATGTACAAAATCATATCTTATTTATTTATTTATTTTAACACATAGATATTGGTACAAGGAGGCACCAAATACATATGCGCCACACAAATCTCATTTGATATGTGTGAGGGCTATGATACTGCCCGGGTGCCCAAACCGAACCAGGTGGTTTTCTTAAGGGGCCACACCCGGAGCCTCCAACCTAAAGGTCTGATCCACAAGGCAATGGAGCATCGTAAGGAGAGGCAGTCCCGTGGAAGCCAGTGACCAACAACTGGTTCATACGCCATTTCTTCGTTTAGGATACTGGAGCTCATGTGCACCATTGGTTTGGAATCCAGTTAAAGCGCCGGACATTCGCTTTTCGTCCTCTCATTTTCGTAAACAACACCACTGGCAGTGAGTAGGACTTTCCTGGTAGATGCATTATACGCGTGGCCATGTGAGAGCGTTTCGAGAAGGAAAGCGGACTCTCCCCACTCTCGGCCGTACACCAGGGCATTTGGGGGCCATAAATCATATCATACATATAAAAAGTAAATGAATTATTAACTTTGAACAAATCAATTAAATATGTTTATGTTATACATAAATATAATACTCACTAGAAGAACTATGAGAAGAATTATCATTATTTTGTGAATTGTTTAAAATATAAGTTGGTGAACACTTTGAAATGTTTGTTGAATTCATTTTAGATTTCTCTTTAGATCTTGAAGTATTTAAAGATTTATCTGATGTTATTTTTGATTTCATAGAAGAATTATTTGCTTTACGATGATTATTATTATTATTTGAAACTTCATTAGATTTTTCCTTTTCTTTAAGATTTGTATTCATTTTAGACCAAATAGGATCTGAAAGTTAAAAGAGTAAAATACAAACAATAATAATAATATGTAGGAAATTTGTCGCTAACAAAACACCAAATCTATTTAAAAATATAATGGATCGTACGAATCTTGTTTAAGTTATATAGTTATCAACAATCCTCATCATCTACAAATGTATGTGTATGTATAAATGTGCAAACATTGAACGTTTCATCCAAGGAGTTGAAACTTGAAGTAAATGGTAATTCATTTGTTAATTAATGCAACTTTATGTACTCGGGGCTTTCATGTACACTTCTTTAACTGTGTAACGATTAGTGGATATTATCCAGTTGTGGTGTGTGATATTGATGTCGATAGATATAAGTAGTATGTATCACCAACAGAAAATGAAATACCTGACGATAGTAGGTTAAGAAGATCAAAGAAAAGAGAACGAGAACAGAGAGTGATTGGTGTGAAAACGAAGGAACAATCAATTCTGAAACAATTGATTGACATTTTTTAAATGAAGTATTTACTGTATGGCTCTCAGATTTTACAACGACATTCTGTAATTTTATATTCAAATATGTTTGGTTGTCCTCCATTGCTGTTCTCGTTCACTATACAGTCACTAAAACCAAGGTAAGTAGCGAGCTAAATTCGGATTTTTAATTTATTGGTGATAATTTAGAAAAATTGAACCATCGCTTTTACATGAAGTTCGAATACAAACAATTCCATAGGGATAAATGTGACTGACTAGTCAGCTAAGTGAATAACAACTTACTCTTTGCAATAGTGAATTACAAGGGGAACAATAAGTAAATAAGTAACAATTAAACTGGACAACTAAATTGTACGAAATTTAATTTGGCATTTTTAATCAGGAATCAATTGGTGAAATCAACAGAAAACAGTGTGAAATTCAATTAATATTTTAGATAAACTGTAATTACTAATGCCACTATGCAATAAACAAACTCAATGGATATACGCTTAGAAAAAAGCTGTTAGTTAGTTATAATCAAACTAGGACCTTGGATCAATACGAGTTATCCCAAGTTACTATACCAAATCAACATAACGAAATGAAATTAACGTAATGAACAGCAGTATTTATAATAAGAAAGAATACAGGTTTAGAATATGACACAAGAAGGTTGAATGAAAAAATATATGTAAATGAACACCAGACTTCAAGAGCTGGAGGGTGAGTCCATTCGAGCAACTGTGACCCAGCTCACCCAATGTCTACAGTCATTAGCCATCAGAATAGCGTGGACACTAAACGAGTGGTTTACACCTACCGACATGGCTCAATCTAACAGTCAATGACTTCATGGATTGATGCCACATCTTGATTGGGCAGCTCCTAGCTTTCTTTTAACTTGCTTCCACTTCGTACAACATTCCACATCAAGATAGACGATGTTTAGGGATACATAATAAATGGTCTAACCACCTCAGCCGGTGAACATTAACAGCTCATCAACCGATTCGCTATCGTTTCTGAGTATCATATACCTAACGTCAACATAGATCACTGGACAATTTCACGGTACGCTAGCAATGGTTAGGAGATATCTATGATCAAAAACTTGCAGTCTACATTGCAAGGCTGATGAGATTTGTTATCTTGTACCATATGAACCTAAGTATACTGTTCACATTCCATAAGGCATTTAGACTGTTATCTATCGATAAGTCATCACAACAACTTGCTGTGCTGTCCAGATGTCATCATCTTACTGAGAGGCGGAAAAAGACTTTTATTCATTAAAGATTTTAGGCAGAGCAAGTCCAAATAACTTACTGTCCAATAACTGAATCCTTTATTTATCTTTTCTTATTGAAGATTAATTCATTTCTTACATCCTGTGTCGACTTTTTTTAAATTTTATGTCTTTGTGTTGGATTTTAAATGGATTCCATTTAAGAAATGTGAGCATCTCATTATCATACAGAAAACGAGCACGTGGATTGAGTACGTATCGATTCCAGTCGGCAGACATCAAATTAGAGCAACGAGAGAGAAAATCAACAAAATGAGTTAGCAACGTATGAGAAATTCAGTCTCCTTTTACATTTCTCCACAATATTATCGCCTTATTCTTCGTGACTCATTCTCTCAGTACCTTATTGTTCTTGAATTCTTGTGTATTATGGGTAAATCAACGTTTTCAATCACAAACGACAAATATTGCGTGCAACCAACCAAGAGACTCGCACCTACCAACAGTTAATAGTGTCATGGACCGATGACATGTCTTGATTTTTCTACCTGCAGATTTTTTTCAACTTATTCCTGTCAGGTAGCACTGTATATCTGAAAAGTGACTAGGTATGTATGACACATATTTTAACTATCTAGGTCGATAAAAGCTTGTAGTTTCATCCATCAACTAGCCATTTCAACCTATTACTTTACGACTGACTTCACCATTGCCCATTTAATGGGTGCACATTGAACGAACAATGGTTTAAAGACAATTAGGATCAGATAATTTCAGCCTATACATACGTTCTGTTATAATAGGTCATACAGAGAGAACTGCTGAGCAGTATGCTCACTCTTTGGTAGAAAGCAAACATCTTAACTCTACTACAGCCGACACATACAAAAACCAACACCACACCAAAATACAACAGACATTTACGTAGTTAGGTGAAATTAAAATATAAACAGTATGCCCTATATATTAGATTCACTAATAATAACGCAATGAATCAATGATTTGAATCAGATCACAGTATTTATTTTTATGGAAATTAAAAGGAACCTATATCAACATGACTGATTGAAATAAGGTATTATCAGACAAAATGCAAATGTAGTACAAACATTTCACTGAATAACAATATACATACTTTGTTCAACGCATACAAAATCAGTGTCAGAAACATTGTTATCATTTGTAATACCACCATTATTACCCATGTTTGGTTGATGAGCATCGTCCATAACAGCGGAGAGGCTAGCGGATTGTTGTATTAAGGATAAACGATAGAAATAATTTCTCCAAAATATCTCTTCACTAATTCTATATGACAAAAATGGAAGGTAATAGTATATTAAATTGATTTAAAATTATGAAGCACAAAAATGAAGAAATATCACCGTTGATTTTTTTAAAATTAAGAATTCCCATACTGTCCCCTTCTCCCTTTACCCTAACCTATTTACGTAGAATGTAACAGGTAGAAAAATTTGGTTCCATTTGAGAACTAATCATAATGAAACAAAGAAAACTGGTAGGGACTGGTAGAAACTGGTAGAAACTTCCTTACTGATAATCAAGAAATTTCATAGAAGTTAAAATTCAAGGATTCAACTTGGTTTGTGTACATTTTTTGTGCATATATTGGAAGCAGTAATTCTGTCAGCATAGAGATATCAATGATAAAATCATCCACACATATACATATAATTGATGTTTATAGAGTTGCATAGTTAATAGGATAGTTCTCTCATTTTTGGTGAACAGTTATGTTTCAGAACTGTGAAACATTTATCGTCAACTTGGTTAACTGTATATGTATTAAAGAATTCAAGTAGTTATCTAATTGTCGCGGTAATTTGAACAGTTAGTCACTAGAAAAAAGTCGTTCGATAGATAGAAGATATTTGGAACATAAGTTTTTGAACTATCGTTACCTTCAAAGTATCGGTTACGTTTAGTGTTGGGAAACCGAGTCAATCAACATCATGATCATATCATTTTAGCACAAACAGAAAAACAACACTTCATACCTGATGGTTAAGTATAGTCCCTCCACATTTCTGTGTAACGTTTACCACAGTTAAGATGGAAATGATGTCTAGTCTTTGAACATGTATTTGGATCATTTATTTACTTACAATCGGGGTTGAGTAGCATAATATTGTAAGAATAATCTCGATAAAATAAAAATTCCCAAAATAACCTATCAAAAAAGATATGGCTCACTAATATAAATTACGCAAGTTTGTGTAAAAGCATCGTATAATAATTCATTCATTATATAGTAGTACATGTACTCCGGCCCGAGACCAACTATGAACTAGTAACATTACCTAGCCTGTCTAAACTGAAGTATATATAGATTAAGGTTTGAATCTAAAATATATGGCTTGACAGTCAAGTGCATTAACCAATAAACTACATAGTTACATCAACTGGTTGACAGAAACGAATTAATGTGGAAACAAAAAAATAGCAAAATCTATTGACTATGATCATAACATGAGTCTTTTTGTGGAATACTTCTTAATAATCTCAGTAAAGCAACGAAACGGAGAAATCAGAAACACACTAAGTGAGCCTTCCTATTCATATTACTATATAAAGCTAACAAGAAATAATTTGGATCAAGTTCATCTCCTTTGTGTAACACAATTACTAATAAATTAGAACCTATATTTTTTAGATAGTCAGTAACGTGCTAGACCATGATAAGTGATTTAGAAAGGTTAACTTCTAGATCAATAATATGCACAACTTACTTGCTAGGGACAAGTCGATACCTTATAGAACCTAAATTAGGATCTTCTTTTAAAAGGATTTGAGCTTCACGTAATAAATTGTCAGGTATTGGTGATGTCCATTCGAGCTGAGCTTCTTCAGGAGGAGAAATAAGAAAGTTATTCGGATTTTGACTTAAAGCTAGGATTTGTTCTTTCAGTGAAGATAGAGCATCACAATCATTTAATCCGCATATATCGGGATGCCATGGTGGAAGTTCAGATTGAGATGATGAACGAAAACGAATTGCTTCTTCATGCTTATTTTGAGATGTTACAGCAAAGTCAGCTTGAGCTTTTTCAAACTCACGTATGAGTGGGACCTCGTAGATATAGAAAGATAGGAATTTTACTGAGTTTATAGACAGTAATAGTTCAACAATTTTGAAAAAAGCTTAATATAAACTGAAATAGCATAAAATTTGATGATTTAAGATTATTCACTTACAAACGAAAAAAAAACAAGTCAACTACTTATGGATGGGATAATATTATAAGGAAGTCAATATAAGTGATTGGGTCCCAGTTGACAGTCGACTACAAACTGGAGAGCTAGTCATAATAAAACGTGAAGCATAAAATATGCTAATATATGCACGTCGACTGAAAGAATTTTGAAGGGTGAATTCTGTCGAAGGTCAAAGTGTAAAGCGTACAAATGAAGTCATACTATCTGTTGACTTCGGCGAGAAGACAAAGAGACCAAAGTAGGAGAAATAAAATATGGTGGAGAGAGCCTTAATATTCTGTATCGATGAGTCAATAGCTACGATTGCTTTCCGGAATCTTGTTTCAACCGTCTCCCAACCAATAGTAAATAAAGATGATGTATACGATATGTCGGACAAGAACTAAGTTTAACAGGTTTTAATCTTATCGGTACTTGAGTAACCTTCGAAATCGGTATCTCCCAATCACTTGCGTTTTAAATAACTTCTAATCATGGATATTTTTGTGTTTAAGGTTCTTCACATAAGTAAGTCCTCTCATTAAATAAAAGAAAGCCTATTCTATTTGGCACGTCTTATTTTCTAATATTTGTTTATCTATATGCTCACGTCAACAACTTAGTCTCGTGAGCCGTTGTCACTTGGTTACGTTGCATCGTTGCACTGGATCTATTGATTAGCGTTGAATACATACATCTTACTGATCTAAAAACTCAAATCACTAATCCGTAATTCTCAATGGTCTAGCTTAGCAATCGTTGGTAAAAAATTAACACAAACAAACTATATTGTTATTGATCATCGTCCGAATATTTCTGCTCACATGAAAAACACTTGCAGAATTTCAATCATGAACGAGTTAATAAATCTGTGTCTGAATAGATGAGAATAACACTTTGGTCGTTTTAAGCACAAATGTGTTTATGCAGGGAAAATTAGGTGGACTGAAAATGTGTAAAGTAATTCAAAGTTGACCTGACCTGATTTTATGAGGGAAAGAATGAAGACGAAATGACGAACTATGAAAGATACTTTCCGGGACGTTAATTCACTCAATTCCTAATCTACATATGCGACTTCCTTACTTCCTCTATCATAGATTTTCTTTTACTCTATGAACTGTTATCTTCTAGGGTTCAAAATTTGGAATTTAAACGCGAGCTTTTTATCATATTCTTCTACCTTAAAAGCCCTGTTTTGGCATATATTGCATCGTTCCGCTTATTATAACCTATGGTCCAAACACTCATATATTTGGTTGTGTACTTTTTTATCCAGAAAGCATTCAAACATAAAGGGTTTTCTGCTACAGTCGTCTTCTCTCTTCTCTTGCCAACTACTTAGTGTCGACGTAGCAGATCATTAGTCACCGAACAGAGTAGTTCTTTGCTCCCAAGGTTAATCACTCGCAAGTCGAACCCATGTATTTGTAGTCTCAGTCATATTAAAAACTTAGAATATCAGGGTTATTAACTAGTCCTAAGAAAACCTCCTTTTATATCTAACTACAAAACAGGTAGCTAGACCAAGAGCATAACACCTGATGAAGTAATTTGTCTATTGGATAGGTGGCAAATCCCTTTGTTTCAGCTTCAATTTACAGAAAATGTTTTATTTTCTGATTCTGAAAGTCTGATAAGATAGTAACAAAGAAACAGCTAGACTGATGTACTTTTTGCAAATGAAAATGGGGAAATCCTTCTAAAGACTGATCATCTTAGTTTCCAGAGATCTGGGATTCGAAAATAGCAAACGATTGCTAACTAGAGGATGTTCAAGCGCAGATGAGCGTATTGGTCAGGTATCCTGAAGTAACGAGGAAATTACATTTAAGACAGCACTTATGTTTGTCGACTGCATAACTCCAAAACTTTTAGCATAAACAGAATGTCGAACAAATATACTGTTATCTGGGAAATTTTGTTTGGACATACAATTGTTAAGAACTATTTCCTTGCACTTATTAGAAAGGATTATTTAGGAGTGGTCTGCAGTGATACCTAAACTAAGAGTGTAAAACTAAACAGTCGAAAACATAAACCACCCTCTCAAAGTTATATCAAACACAATAAGATGGCCATCAACAAAATTTTGATTGGGATGAAGTAAGCTAAACATTTGCCACCGTTTTGACTATATTTGTATATTTTCACAGATTTAAATCATGAGTCAGTTGAAGCTAGACCACCATTGAAAACCTGGAAGCACCGGACGGCCGTTTCGTCCTAGTATGGGACTGCTCAGCAGTCCCATACTAGGACGAAACGGCCGTCCAGTGCTTCCAGGTTTTCAATGGTGGTCTAGCTTCAACTGACTCATGATTTAAATCTGTGAAAATTTCTAAAATCTCCACAAACCCCTTCTGATATATTTGTATATACCGTTTATTTATTTGAACACAAATATTGGTACAAAGGGGCACCGAATACGTATGCGCCATACAAGTCACTTGATTTGTGTGTGGGTTGTGATACTGCCCGGGTGCCCAAACAAAAACAGGTGGTTTTCTTGGAAGACCACTCCCCGAGCCCTTGACCTAGAGGTCTAAGTAGTAATATTAGACTCAAATATATGGTGGGAACCTTCTACACTCAACCGAAGCTGACATTTCATGATTTTCGAGAATGGCCCTCCTTAGCGTGCTGTCTGCACGATGAACCAATTTCGATGAGTTGCCTCCAAAACGTTTCCAGACATGAATATAACTGGAATCGAATTAAAAATTAACTCTTCCGTGTCACAGAAAATACCGTTTAGTCCTTTTTCATACTTTTAAAACTAGCAGTAATATTAAGTACAGCAGCAAAGCTGACTTTATTCGATCGTTTAAGAAAACGACTGATTCCTTTGTAAATGAATTATGCGTTAGATTTGGTAGAGCTGAAAGGGGAATATGATGGGATTATAATACAAGTTGATTGCAAAAGGAAACTAGTGAACGTAAGTTACGTCGTAAGATAACTACCCAGATAGGAGGTATACTTAGTGAGGAGAGCATGATTTATGCGAACAAAGAAAGTGAAAACTATACATACATTGAATTCGTTGGACTGTGCTCAGTTTAGTTTTGAGCTCAACGCGAATGAACATCTGGCTGAAGATAATGTTGCTCAAAAATCAGCCAACCGTTTTTTTAAGACTTGGTGATACCACTATAGACACGAAGTCAAACACAGTAACACACCTGATGTATCTTTTTTTAGGTCAGTCTAATTAATTGATAGTGAGAAAGTCAACGCTTATGGTAGTGCAATCTGCTGTCCAACTACCACAAGTATTAAGTCCTGAAGGATCTTATAAATATGTAATTTAATAGGCTACAACTGATGTTGAAACCAATGCGACTAAAATTGCTACTACAAATATAAAGGATAGTAAATTTCCTCTGACTAAAGTGGTACTTGATTACAAACAAGATTATGTAGTTATTGTGACTGTCGCTTATGTGGCTGATGTCAAAAGAATGCAATCATTGACCAGAGCTAATAGTCTTGATAGTGATATGGAAAAAGCTTAAGGATGTATCAATATGGGTAGTATGATTGCTCAGCTAAGGATTTGAATAAAACTGGTGTTGACTGAGTAGAGATTAGGATCAAAGCGTGGAAACTAGGAATGCAGTAGTCTATTCTTATGGTGTAATAGTTTCTATAATTGCACTTGATAAGGGACCATTTTTGTTGAAGGTCGATGGTCGTATTAACTACCATATACTTGAGGGTATTAAAAAGTATATACAACACAGTGGTGATGCTGATTCTTAAAGTAATCCGATCGTGTGGCTGACTATATTTACAGAATTGAGGTTAAGGAGGATAAGAGTTCCCCGCACTTTGGAATGGACTGGACTACAGTTACTTAACAAACGAAAATACGACTTCCCTACTCGATAATCATCCTCATTGAGTTTGTAGTGTAGAATAATGACATAATCTAGAAGATTAGTGTTCTCCACTTAGATATGTGGCTCACCAACGTTGTTCAGTTCACTATAATCCAAGTGAGAAACAGGATTTCCTTGAGTCCCGTCATACTGTTGAAATCTCAGACTGTAACTCGTGAACACATACTCAGACTACCCTCGATACAGGTGTTAGATATACATCTTACTGAATTAAAGGTCGAACTGAGTACTGAACAAAGAAAAACTAAATATTTACATCGAATAAAGCACTTTGGTAAATGCTGGTGAATAATCAGTCGGAGACATACGTACATATGAACGAAAAATAGAAACGAAGTAAAAGAGGACATTACGAAATCCTCACCTGTTTGACAGAAGCTGTTACATCATTTACAACTGATTTGATTTCGGTTAAATCTATTCGATCACTAAGTTTTTTAACTGCTTCCTCACTGGACTTCACGGCTTTTGAAAATAAATAACCTAAGACAGAGGTTCAGGAATACCACAGAAAGCTTACTTCCCCATTCTTTTGCAGCAGAAAGTTTGTCTGATATTTCCTTCTGAATATCTTTTCCAACTGAATCACAAACTTCGGCATCGGACATAACGTAACGCAGTCATAGAAACAACCGCTGGACTTCACTACAACTTCACCGACATCTCTATTAAAATACATTATAAAAAGCTTCTCAATATCATCGTAACGAGTCTTAATAAATCAATTGACATTAGACCTTAACAATACAATCCTCAAAGCTGAACTCCAGACAACTGAGAAATCAGATATTCAACATTTACCGCGAAGAGAAACCCAACGATAGAAAAGGCGAGAAGAATTTATTCAATTAGCTCGAGTTAATTGAATGGCATCTCTCGGCCTTGCAGGTGTGGTCCTACTTATATAACAGTCTTTTATCTATATTAAATATATTGTTCTGTCTCCAGCCTAAATGTGTTCCTCACGATATATTTATCATTGTTACAATACATATGAGTCATGGTAAATAGTGATGCGACACCCACATAAAGTCTCGTAGGTTAGATAGTTACATCATGACAAATGTACAATTTAGGACTAAGTCTATTGTTAGAGCAGTACCAATATCATAGTAGGCCATAATCCTACAGATTTCTATGCAATCGCTTCTTGTCGTCTAGGTACATTTCTAAGTATTTGGTGATGTCCAAATGTGGTGGTCTGATCGCCTGATTGCGCTCATACCGATGAGCCTGGCAGTTATTTCAAGATTTGTATATCTTGTATTTTAAGCGAGTGCGTTTGTCTCAGGAGATTATGGGTCCTGCATGCCAGCAGTGATCACGTTACTAAGTAGGAGGTTGTTTGCGAAGCGGTAAATAAATCCTCAGAATTGGATAGTTCTTTAAGTCTTTGGCATTTGACGCTGACCTCATTAATCTGAATGGACACGACCAACTGAACGCGCTCGGTCACGCATAAGTATGTAGTGCTACACATCTACAACCGTTTGCCAGCTTAAATTAAACGCCTTTCGAGATAGAGATAGCCTTTCAAACACAACTTCGAAACTCTTCACTTCTGACTTCTGATTTAACTGGGTTGACCTACTTCGATTATAAAGGTTTGACTGGTAAATGCGTTGTCCAACTCTGCATACTTGTGTCACCTTTAGTCGGTTCGATGTGAAAATAATAAAGTGGTAATTCGAGTGCTACGAGAAAACAATTTTTCAAGAATAATAAGTTAATTGATTGGCTGAAAAAATAAGAGGGAAAACGGAGATGATATTAATAGACACAAAAACGGTTACAGATATTCCATAATGATAACCATCGTAAATCATCAGACATGCATCAGACACAGCTGGCCGATTTTCCATGGTATTTTATTTGATATAAAGAGTGAATTTTTTTATGCCTATATTTATTATTTTGATAGTATTTGTGTATTAAAATTATTTTTAAAAAAAAACGAAAAAACCTTTTCATAAAAGTCGCTTTTACGCTATCACATTCACATGAGTTTTTTTTTCGTTTTTTCGCCCACTTTGTTTCTTAAAGCGCGCACGATTTCATTTCGAAATGCACTTACAGATTTCTTTTTTCCCTTCCATGACGGCTGGAAAATACGATAAAAAGAACAATGAGGTTTACGAGTGACCGAAATTTTCATTGTACATTATTTTTCTAACTACATTGTAATTCATAGTCCCATATAGTAAGGAAAGACGAACAGACGCTGATAAACCTAGCAAACTGTCAGAAGACTGGTTACCAACGACTAACCCGTTGGGTTCAAACTTCTGGCTGGCCACGTCTTAGGGTCATCACTACCCCACTAGAGGGGAAGTGATCTGTAGCGGTAAATAAATCCCCTAAATAAGTAGCTCTGTAAGTCTTTGATATTGGATGCTGAACACGTTGGCTTTATTGAACTTACCTAGCTGAAGGCGCTCCGTCATACATCTAACCAGATCACAAGTGGGATCGCCGTGGTCAACAACTCCTGAAATCGCTAGCTAGATTAGTTCAGACGATCCTAGATATATTAATAGCTTACCAAATATAACTTAGAACCTTCTCACTTTTGTCTTTTGATTTCCCTTGTTGGGTCCGCTTCATATTAGGTGTTACTTGTTAAAGCGTTGTCAAACTCCGAATATTTGTGGCATCTTCAGTATATTTAAATAACTCTGTATATTCGGTAACTTAGATCTTGCTTAGGAGTAGGATGTCTACTTTCTACTACTTAACTCTGACGAATAGGGTGCCAACTGGAGAGAAAATGCTTACTAATACATCCACTTTACTGATCTATGAGTGCATGGTAATAGAATTGTAGAATAAAACAGTTAACATGTGCGTAGGAATACAAAGACTTAGGGGTTGATGATGTCACAGGTATTCAGTGTTTGACAACGCTTCTACCAGTAACACCTTCCAATGTATTTCGTTCCCACCCAGAGAAATCAAAAGACAGAGTCGAGGAGATCGGAAGAGTGTATTTGGCGATGACCAATATATCGGAATTCTCTGATCTAATCTGGCTAGCGATTGCGGTTGATGTTGAGCACGGCGTTACCACACGTGATCTGGTGCGGATGCCTGACCGAGCGCCTTCAGCTAGACGAGTCCACTAAAACATATGGTCAGCATCCAATGTCGAAAACTTACAGAGCTATTTATTTTGGGGATTTATTTACCGCTACAGATCACTCCCCCCACTAGTGGGGCAGTGACGACCCTAAGACGTGGCCAGCCAGAAGTTTAAACCCAGCGAGTTTGTCGTTGGTAAACACTCTTCTGATAGCTTACTAAGTGTAGCAGCGTCTGTTCGTCTTTCCTTACTATAGGGGACCGAGGTACAACATAGTAAAAAAAGAAAGAGTTACAACGAAAATTTCGACTCCTCGTAAACTGTATCGTTCTTTTCCAGCCGTCCTGGAAAAGAAAAAAGAAAGTGTAAGTGCATGTCGAAATACACTAGTATGTGCGTAAAAACACGATGTCGGCGAAAAAATGGAAAATAAACTCGAGCACACGTAATAGCGTTAAAAAAAATAATTTTTCGTTTTTTTTTGTTTTTTTTTAAAAATAAAAATATAAATATATAGGCATATTAAAATTGTTTTTTAAAGAATAAATTTTATATCGTAAAAAGAAAAATCGAGATAATATAAAATGTCGAGTAGTGCCTTACGTGCAGTAGTCGTTTAAATGTTCTGGAAATCTTACTCTTCCAGAACGCGTCGTTTTAGGTATATTTTCAGATACATTCGGAGTATCATCGCTAGTGTTGGTTGTCGGTTGAGGAATTATGAGTGTAGGAGTCGCGTTGTGCAATTGTACCGAAGGAAAGTCGACGTGAATAGGATTTCCTTCTAAATACGCTGCTTTTAAGCGATCGATGCTGATGCTATCGTTGGTTCCGTTCTTATCGACTATATAGTACTTAGATTCACGTTGAAGAACTTTGAAGGGTCCTTCGTATGCTGATTCGAATGGTCGTCGATGCGAGTCTCGACGAACGAAAACGTGTGTACTATATCGTAAGTCAGGTTGAACGAAAACATCGGTTGATTGTGGTCGAGTGGAAGCAGGCTTAATTGAACGCATTGCGTTTGTAAGCCTGTTCGTGTAGGAGGTTAGATTCATGTTCATTAAAAAGGACGAAGGATCCACGAATTCTCCTGGAAGTCGAAGTGTCGTTCCATAAACCAGTTGAGCCGCAGTGTATTCAATGTCAGCTTCCACTGCATTGCGGATACCTAGTAGGACGAGTGGAAGAGCGTCCGTCCACTGTGAAACGTTTGCAGCTGATAGTGAAGCTTTTAGTTGTCGATGAAAACGTTCTACCAACCCGTTTGCTTGTGGGTGGTAGGCAGTCGTTTGGAAGCGAGTGATTCCTAAAAGTTTAGTCAGACGACGGAACAGTTCAGATTCGAACCGACCTCCGCGGTCTGTAGTGATGGTTGAAGGGCAGCCGAAGTTTGCTACCCATCGTTCGACGAATGTGCGGGCCACTGTTTCAGCAGTGATGTCCTTGATAGGTACTGCTTCTGGCCATCGCGTGAAACGGTCTACGCAGGTTAAGAGGTAAGAGTATCCATTTGAATCTGGTAAAGGTCCTACCAAATCCAGATGAACATGGTCGAAACGAGCATCGGGAGTTTTAAGCGAGCCTAAGGGACATTTATTGTGTCTGATAACCTTAGATTTTTGGCAGCTTACACAGGAGCGTGCCCACTCCCTCACGTCTTTATTCATTCCAGGCCAGCAAAACCTTTCTGCTATAAGCTTGATGGTTGCACGAACACCTGGATGCGAAAGTTTGTGCAATGTGTTGAAGACATTGCGTCGATAATGTTTCGGCACGATTGGGCGATCCCTACCTGTAGACGTGTCACAAAGTAAGGTTTCCTTACCTGTTCCCATCTGTTTGATGCGTAGTTTAAGTGTTGTGGACGATAACTCGTGCTGAAGATCACTGTCTTCTTTTTGAAGCTCGGCGAGTTTAAGAAGGTCGATTCCTTGGAAACTGTTCAAGGAAGTTATACGAGATAAAGCGTCTGCAACTACATTGTTTGCTCCAGAGATGTGTTGAATATCTGAAGTAAACTGAGAAATGTAGTCCAGTTGTCGAGACTCACGGGGAGAGTACTTGTCAGAAGGAGAGCTTAATGAGAAAGTGAGCGGTTTATGGTCCGTGAAAAGAGTGAATTTGTAGGATTATGATCTACTATGATATTAGTACTGCTCTAATAATAAACCTAATCCTAAACTTGTCGATTTGTCATGATATAACTGCCTAATCTATAAGATCTTACGTGGAAGTCACACCATCGACTACACCAACTCACTGTATCGTATCAATTACCAATACATGATGAGGAACAAGGTTAGGCAAGAGAAAGAACAATATATTTAATATGAATAGAAGATATGAAGTAACACTAAGATGGACCACATCTGCATGGACGAGCCATGCCACTCGATCAACTCCAGTCCATTCAATTCATTGTTCGCGCCTTCTCCATTGTTAGGTGTTTCTCCGCGTTAAATATTGAATATCTATTTTCTGAGTAGTCTCGTGTTCAGCTTTGTGGATTGTGTGGCTATTGTCCAA